CTCCTTCTCCTCCTCTCAGCAATCCTTCGAGCATTCACACACGTTCGCGGCGCACGCATTGCTCGCGCGCGTACTCGAATGCGAAAATCGTGCGAAACTATTACGGCACTCCCGGTATTAACGGCACTCCCGACGCGCATTTTGTTATATCACAACGGAACGAATATATTTCGTAGCACTGATTACGCGCACAAAGTTTATCTGTAACATATAAATACATTAATATTAAAATGATATTTGAAATACGATTATTGGCTTGGCACAATTATTTTCAGACACCCTGTATATTGCACGTACACGATTTTTCGCGAGTCAGCTTGTAGCGATGTTTCGCAGACGAAGAAACAAGATATCACACAACTTAAATGTGCGTTCTAGATTTTCTTTTGTGAGCATTAGCGTTAGATAAATCGATCCGGAACTTTCGCGAAAAAGCTTGAAAAATGCGGCGCAAGACAAAAGATCGGACTATCTCTTAACCATTTCCTTGTTTTTACGATAGCGAATATTTCAAAGTATACCTAAATAATACTTTATCAAAGAAAAAGAAGGAGCCTATGCGGCAAAGACGTATATATGTATAATGTGCCAAATGAAATCAGAACGCAGAAATAATGCGAGAGAGAACTAGAATAGAAGAAATTGCGTTACGTAAAGTGAAAATAAGATGGATGCGCGAAATGGAAAAAGTTTAATCATTATGTACGATGTTTACATGAAGTCTTTTTGTAACTTTGTAATATCCTTAGATTTAATTATATAAATAGTTAAAAAATACAATATAATTTAATTCCAAAGTACACAAAGATATTTTGAAATCTAATAGATTTTTAATCTATAGAGAATACGATGATGAGATTTGCAGATATACACAAGAAATTCACAATTCACGCTTTAAAAACAAATAAAAAAAAATCGATTGAGAAAATGAGCCACGTTTATAATATTTTCACGTTATCAATTTTAAAGTTTTATTAATAATTAATGTAATGTAATCTCGTATTCTAGATATATTTAATCATGCATAAATTCAATTAATTAAACATTATTATTTTTTATATAGTTATTTTGTAGAATAATCAAAATTTTCTTTTACGTATTATAATATTTATATTTATCCATCTTACTTTAACTTCAGTTATTATTTGTTTATAATTTCTTTCTCTATTTGCTTTCTTTTCCAATTTTATTTACTATTTATACACTTATGCACGTATCACTTTGAAACATAACTTCAATTAACGCAGAACACGTAAAGTGAGAATACAAGTATGCGTTAATCGAATAGCTTTCCGCAATTACATTTACTGATGTAGTAGCTTTTTGTAATCGTGCCGATAATCAGATGAACTACTCTTGTAAATGCATTAGAGCACTAAAATTAACGCCACGTACGCCCTTCCCAATTAGTCGTATAATATCATTAATTAATAATAATTGATTCATTTTTCTCTCTCCCTCACTACAGATTAATGAACTATTTCTATATTCAAAGTTAAATACCAGGTGATTAATAAACTTCCTGCATGATAAATAAAAGGTACGATATGTCTACTTTTTCGATCTTTCCAACTTTACGAGGTTCTTTCGACGTAGACCGATAAAGCACTATTAAAGCTAACCCCAAGCCATGAATACAACGTGCACGAATGAAAAATGGACCGGTGGACACTTTATAAACTCCTAACCGCGGCACAATGGCTTTGAACGCTTACGAAGATTCTCAATGCGCTCGTAGAAAAGCGATGAAAGAATAGCTCTTGCCCCCTTCGTGGTTTTGTGACGGATTCCATCAATATTCTTCTTAGATAAGTTTATTAAACCTAGCAAGCATAATTATTCGCAGTTATTTGAACAATTTGAACCAACTATTTACGTATTCCTTTGTTCATTTTAATGTTTTATAAAACTATAAATTCTTTTCCTTATTTTTTTAATACTGTCTAGTGCTAAAATATTTAAAAAGTAATGTATTGTCATCAAAATCTCTTTAAATTTTTCAACTGATTTTACTAAATTTATAAGCGTAGTTTACATGATTTTCAATATCATTGCAAAAAATCGCTGCGACATTAAATATAATTGTGAAAAGCTATTCAAACAATGCACATTTGTTAGTACTCGGAAATTTCAGGCAGTCAAAGCTCGAATTTCGAGATCAAAATAGCAACCCTAAATGATTGTAAATTTTTTATAGTACTTCTTTGTCGTACAAATACTTTTGTTTCCATTAAACGGGCGCTAATTAATCACGGGGGAAAGCAGAAGTAACGAGCATTGGTCGCGGTGTACCTGCGTTATTCGTAGCACTAATTAAAAACGCGCTTCATTCGAGCTCTGTTCGCCCCAGATCACGATTAAATCCGTCCCATTGTTTCTGGAAACTGCGCACCCAGCTCGCACAGTACTTTTCATCCTCGGAAAATGGGCTGCCCTGCCAATTTTTGGTGATAACATCGAATCGTTCCCACGTTATATCACGCGCGAACAAGAAACTAGAATATGAAGAATAATAGAACATGCAAAATATAAAATTTATGACTATATAATTTACCAAAGCATTAAAAACAAAACAATAAAAAAAATTGTAACAAATAATGGTCTTTTCTAAAGAAAAATTAACACGCACAATTTATTGTATTTAAAAAACTGCTTATAAAACGTTATTAAGTAGATATTCACATCAGCTTGCATGTATCATTGTAATATAATATATTTTCTTTTGATGAATTTGACGAAAATTACGAATTTGGATTAAGTCCTTGGTTCACAAAATGATGAGTGATCCTATTATATTGTCAGTTAAAATCCTATTTAAACTTTGGATAATAATTGTTGACTGCAGTATAATTATAGAGCTATGATAATATACCACAGCTTGTAAGCCGTGATACCAATTAATCGCATTCAACAGTACACGACGACAGACTCCTCCTCCACATATACCGACGAGCTTTACGTTTTGCAGTGCTAGGTAATAATTTTGCGATTCGCACCTGCCAATGGTCGATTTAGCGCTGCGCAGTCTGAATTCTCGTACATGCACGCAACATGACGTGAAATCCAGCCTCGACTTTCGATTATGTTTATTCCGTAAATTAACTCAATCCGATAGACTGTACTGAATCGCAGATAATTAGCATTCGGTGGTACAACCGCTCTTCTCTTGGATTATATTTTAATGAATATGCAAAGACCGCTTTATTGACCAAACTATATGTATATCTCATTCACTCGTATAGTTATCTATATGTATTAATATAAAAAAAACATGACATTCTTTTTAAATAATCTCGCATTTTATAATTATTTACATCAATGCAGAAAGTTAAAATATAAAATAATATTAAAAATAAAATTTAAAATTTAAAATAATATTGAGCTAATAAATTTTTCAGTAGCTTAACATACCGTAGAAACAATAATATTATAATAAATATATATATTTGTACGTAATTGAAATGCGACACAGTCGAAACAGGCGTCCGCGCGCATCCATGGTTGACCTGTTCTACTTTAAGTGATGCATACGTGTATATCGACGTACTATCGTAGAAACGTAAAAGTGTGAGAGGACGTCTACATTTTCCTCTACGTCTACGTTTTTTCCTCGTAGTATACCGTCTTAGGATATACGTCAGCGGTGGTTTTCCAATCTAGGTCAACCTAGCACTTTTTTCCCGAGTTTAAGCTTCATACTAATTCCATTCATTCATAGTTCATTCAATCATGTTGAAGCCACGAGATATGAGGTTCCGTATATTCGCAAGCAACTGTGATGCAAAACAAAGAGAGATTTACGAAGCGGATTTTAGTACTTTCCCTTCTATAGAAAGTTAAGATAATACTATTATAACGTTTATAACGTTTTACATAGTACCAACTTTTCTATACGATACTCTTCATTATATAGTTATGGTATTCATTGGATATTAAGACAGTTTATCGTTGTACGGCAACACTACGCAATGCTATTATTTTTATGAATATACATTGTAACTTATTATGTCGAAAATATTAGGTTATTCTGATATATATTCCAACCTTTTTATGAAAGAGATAAAAAGTTTTTTTTATGATAATGCATATAGTATAAGTATGCTGTTTATTTAAATATATATACGAACCTATTGATGAATTAAAGAGTTATAAGTTCCTAACAATATCTATCAGCAGCTCTATTTTGTTTGAATTTCTAATATAAATTAAGATATATTAAGCTTTCGAACAAATGGACTTTACTTGTTCTAGAAAATGGATGGTAACAGAGATGGCGTGGTGACGTTGTCCGAATTCTTAGAGGCTTGTCGAGCAGATCCGGACATCTCGACGAACATGGCAGCTTTGGACACTGCCTTCTGACACTCACCGCGTTCGCAATATACATCGTGGACTTGAAGGGATCACTCGATTAGGAAATAAATCGCTCAAATGTTGTACCTTAATTCCTTGGACCAGAGAAAGGAAATTTCTCAAGGTGTGTCCTATCGTTTTGGAGCGACTGATATGCGATTTTTCAAAATCGATTGCTTTGAAAGAAGACGACATTGTGCGATTTTGCGGGTACTAGCTCAACAAAATGTACTCAGTGGAATCTCTAGATTTGCAAGGAAAAAATTGCTATTAGGAAAAAAAAGAAAAAGAAAAGTATAAATAAATAGAATGTCTCAGCTTGAGATGTGCGATTTGAATGTAAGAAAGATCTATAAAAGTGGTTATTTGTGATAGACGTAAAAATTAAACAAATATTGGCGTGCTGCCTGACAGATAAGATGTTTGTACGATTAGATATCAGAATTCAGAATACAAATAGAGAAGCAGATTGGAGGCGATAATAAGCAAGTTGTTGTAACAATGGTAAAATAATTTTGGTATTATGCTTGGAACTTGCTTAGAAGATGCAAAGTTGTATGCAAAATAGCATGATATCTTTTACAAAAAGAGTGTATGTAATGAGCCCCCCTCCAATAACTGTCAAGTGTCGGCAAAGTGGTAAAAATTTCATAAAGCTTTAGTATTAGTCAGTATGAAATGGTTAGCGAATAAACGAGAATTAGAAATGGACCTTTGTATTGAGTGGACCGTTGCATTGCCGTAAAACACGAAATGTTTTAGAATATATTTTTAAGATTTACGCATGACATTACTCGCACTGTTTTATTTCCTTAATTTTAACTATAAAGATTTTAATTTAGATGTTATAGTTGTCTTCACATATAAATACAAGCAAATATACATATAAAAATGTTGAATGTGTAGAATTACATTATATTAAATGGTCACACATTCTGATTAAAATTTTCGATATTTTATTGTTGATATATGTTTTCGATGCATAGTAAATAAAGAATATAGTGGTTGAAAATTTGTTAAATTATATTTACGTTCGAATTGTACTTAAATGTATAACGAAAAAAAAAACATAGCATTTGGTCGCATTTTTAAACAATTGCAATGTACATCTACGTGAATTCTTGTAACTTGTATAATTTTTAATAACAATGCGAGTTTTGTGCATGCACATTGAAGTGCGACACAATGGACAAGATAAAATGCGAGAATGAGTAACTCAACTCACGAATGAGACAAAGTTTATCGTGAATCCCGTCGTACAGCTGGATATGTCAAGCGGGATTTGTTGTTTCTAGTGCGTAAGCATGTAGATGGTAAGCGATATCAAAATATTTATTTTTGTGACAGGTAAGCGTATTATCGTTGTAAGATTCTAGATCGTAAAGACTGCGTGCTGCTAAAGAGAGAGAACCGAGGTGGACTTTAACTGAGAATAACGACGAAAGAAATATTCAGGAAAAAAGAGGGAGCCTCTCTCTGTCGATCTGGCATTCGAGTGATCTGTTGCTGAATACACGCGAAGTGTGTATACGTTTTATTATAATTATTCAACGAGTCGTGGGGACTGGACCAAAGCTTCCGCGATGGGCGAAGATTTACTTGAGCGAAATATATTTAATCATTTTCCATCACTGCCTACTTCTGATTAACTATAAATAAGGAGGAATAAACGAACGAATAAAACTGAGAATATCCGAGATGCATCGAGATCAGCGATGCTGGCCTGATCAAAATTATCGACATTAAATTGGAAAACAACACAAATATGAAATTTACTTATTTACAATATGAATTTCAAGTATTTCTTTTCTGTTACGTACGTTTCTTGTAAAATATTCGAGATAGCAAGTATATATATATATTTTACAAGCCGATATATTTGAATATTCCTCCGAGCTATATATATGGAAAGTAATGTGGTGACTAACTTCTCCAACAGCAAAGCTGACACAACTCCAACCCACGCGGTGCATCAATACGTCGAACATAGAGAGATAACAGAAACGAATGCGAATAATAAATTCAATGAAGAAACGAAAAGATAGATCGCGCACGATGAGAATTGCAGGCGTAAAGATTTCTTCGATTTTTAGCAGCGCCTATCTATAGAGTATAAGACTTACATGTAAATTGAGATAAACATCGAATGTTATCTCATATCAACTCGATCACTACCGCATGTCTTTGAAGTTACGTAAGTAAGTGTATAAAAGACAAAAAAAAAACGGGGTAACTGTGTCGTCTAGATACTTTCGAACTCGACTGGACATTAGTTTTTAGATGATGAGAAGGGAAAGAAAGAGAAAGTACTCTTACCCCACGATGGTTAATCGGAAATAAGCTAGGTCTAATATGTTGTGAGCTTTTTTTATGCGCCGTAATTAGTTTTAGAATAATTATTATTTTTTAACGTGACAACTAGACTGACGGTAACTGGAATATTATTAAGTTCGCAAGATGTAAAAAGAAATCGAATGCGCAGAATAGTAATTAATGAAAAGACCGAGTTGTAATATTTCTTATTTCAGGTGTAAGTCCTCGTTATGCCTTAACACCATCATGTGCTTAATTCACACTATCTCAATTATATCTGCACATATTACATTTGCATATTTCCTCTGCTGAAAATATGTAATCACTTCTTTACAATCTTTCTACTTCTCGTCACTGTCGCTAAAAATCGTTTAATCTCTACTGCGTACTGAAACACACCGAACTGCATGTTACTTTCTTTCGCAAACATCGAGTTAGCTAAAGAAAGTTTGATGAAATTTTCGTAATATAAGTTCGATTAAGGATTAAGTATTACAAAGTATAACATGGGAAAGTTGGATTTTATCCTGAATTTTTTTTTAACAAGTTATTTTACGTCAACGAGATAAAAAACGAAATATCTGATAATGATTTAAAGTAATATAAGAACATATCCGAGTGTGTGCAATGATTTGCAACTCTTTTTGTAATGCATTATGCCAATAGAAGAGAGTAATACGCGGTGATATCGTAAATTTTAAACAACATTAGCTTCTATTTAACTTTGTAATTATTATGTTAATCTTTAAACTATAATCGTACTACTTCTTTTGGTACGATATGGATAGTTTTACATGATTGGACAATAAAATATTTCATTGCAATGCGATCAGAACGTTAGACAAAGATATACAATAGTCGTTTATAATATCAAAAATAAAATAGAATAATATTTCCTCGCGCTTTTAAGATGTACTCAAAACATAACTGTCTGAAAATGATCCAATCATTATATTTCAAAAACGCAATTGGCAATTGTTTTACATCAGAAATAAAATTGCTTTGTTCGTAGTCGTTAGAATATAAAATAGCTATTGGTTCTTGATATCATTTAGATTGAAATTAGCAAATATTTCTCAGACTATATATTTCTTATCTATAAACCTGCTCTAAATTGTTGCTATCCTATCGGACGTGATTTATATAAATTATTATATATTATTAATGCTTTTTTCCCTTTAGACAAACAAAAAGAAAAGATATACTGCATCTCAGATGTTTTAAAGTAATGTTAGTTTCTATTACACTTATATTACATTCTCTTATCATAATTTTTTATTTCGTATCTTGTTCAACTATGGGTAGATATAACAATATTTAAGTCCTTCTAACTTTTAACAAAAATTTATATATGTTGAAAACTGATATATAATACATAATATTTACCGACATTAATCTCACATTAATCATTTCAATCGCGATAAATTGCAAGTTGCACTTGATAAATCGAATTTAAGAATCTCAGCACGTTTCTGATCGCTAAGAGACAAAAATTATTTTTCCTTTTTATTTATTTATTATACATCTGATACTCCATCCGAAAAGTGTAAAAGAATTCAGAAGACAAAACTAGCAGATCAATTTACTCAGCCTGAATCGTAACGCAAAATTAGGCTATCTCTCTTTATCTTTTGAAAAATTCTGCATGACTTATAATGCGGCTATTACGTATGTGATTGGCAGACTTTTGGTTGCATCGCTCTCGAAAATTATGTCACGCGATTTACGACGAGCAGAGAATTGGAAAAAATAATAATAGAGTAAAGCATCTTTTCGATCAACCCTATCACGTGGATACTATTCACACGTAGCTAGTTCGGCTACAAGGCTACATAGCCGCGAGTACTACTATCTTGACCCTTTTAATGTAGAGACACTATACTCGAATAGGATTCAAAGATCTATCTATCAAAATCTATCTCTTCTCTGTAGATAGTTGAGTCTTCACCGAGGGTGCTTTCGGTGGTCTCTAATATAGATATTATAACTGCTGGACAGGAAAAAAAATACAATGTGACTTGATCCGTGAACGGAACGCGAACGGTGGAAGTACCAAAAGCGAGGAGGTAATATTCGTCCTTCACGCGATCGCGGGAGAGGAAAAGAGATTTATTTAAATAAAAAGAATTAGAGCAAATAGAGTAATGAAAGATTATGGGTCAGATTGTACTAGCTGACAGATGGTCCAATCATAGACTATATATTCATAACGGGGAAAATAAACGAGAACTTAAAAGAATAGCCTAACAGTGTTATACACGAGGCATGAGAAACAGCGTGCGGAGAGTTATAAGTGTATGTAAAATATTGTTAAACAAAGCGCAGAGACACATTTATGTAGTCGTATAAAATTGCAAAAGCAAAGTTTCTATTATTTGATTAAGTGCTCCGAATCTTCATAATAATTAACAAAAAAAAAACCAATTCAGTTATCAGATTTTCGATTAAATCAATGCATTAAATTAAGACTTGATTAAATATCTTTTGAACCTTTATATTATTTGAGATGCAAATAATAAAGTTTTTTCAACATTCTTATCTTGATATTACGAGAAAAAAATTACTTCTTTAAGTAAGTAGATGGTAAATGATTTACTATTATCTTTTACTATTATCTTTTATTTCACTTTCTGAAATAACCAATCCGTAATGTAATTTAATATTATTAGTCATATTTCTAGTCACATAAAATCTATGTATCATGACGATGTGCTACAAAAATGTGTCACGCAGTTTCTCAGGCATCGCGCGTTGCAACATAACAAAGTTGAACAGATATTATTATATGATGTTAAAATATGGAGGATTTTAAACAGATTTAAAAGAAGAGAACAGGTAAAAAAATATTCATATATTTTCAGTGTAAACCGAGTATATGTATATACTTGTGGTAAGACTACGTATCTCATAGCTTTAACGGCTCGATGCCCAAGTGGAAACAATCTTCTTTGGTAGCTATATATCGAAATTGTGAGTCACGATCAACGACGCGTACAACGTCTCACGGCAAAAAAATGCTACGTAGCCAGTAATTTAATGTGTTCTGTTAACAAAGATGATATGTTTCCACTCGAAAAAAAGCGCATTAAAGGAGTAATCGTTTGGATGTTGATTGTTAAATGTTAGGATAGCTGGATACGACGTTATGTCCTTTCAATCCAAACTACATGTTGAGAGTCCTATTTATTGCGTACGGCTTGCATTTTGTCGATTGATCGATTCCTTACCTTTGGCTATCATCGTATCATTAATTTTATTGAATTTTTCAATCGACACGTGTGTCACCATTTGTTATATAAAAATATGTATGTATGATTTGACTTAATATAGTCTTCGTACGCAGAATTCGAAAATGAAACGTAAAATACATATTTGGTTCGCAACAACGTAGTCACTGCCGTCGCTTCTCCGCAACGAAAATAAATTTTCGCTTCAAACGTTTCGATACTATCTCGAAGAGGTAGTCATTCATGACATACACGAGCTCTTTGTATCACCGAAAAAGGCTCTTTCGAAAAGATTGTACGTTTAGCATTTTGTGTCGTTTAAAAACTTTATGTTTCGCGTCATCTTTAGTAATGTCTCGAAATCTAGTTATTACAGCTTATTGATTATTTATTGTACAATACCTGGAAATATGTAACTATTTTATAAATAAATAGATAATCAACGTGTATGTCATGTGTCTTATTATCAATATTAGTATTTTAATCAATTATGTATGTGTTGATAACGTTAGAAGCGAAGAAATATACTGAAGTTTTGAATCTTTCTTATTAAATTTTTAAGATTTTAGTTTTTAAATTAAACTTTTTTAATGTCTCTTTAAAATTATTTAATTATATATATATATTAAAAATAATAAATTTTATTTTTATATCAATATATATTTATATAATTTATATTTCTAAAATTTTATAATTTTATAATTTAATAAATTGTATGCATAACTTATCAAAATTTAAAATTAGAGAATTTTTTGCTTATTAAAAATGCAATTTTGTTGTTATTTATTTAATCAAGATTTGCAATCAAAATCAAAATGCAATTTTTAGCAATCATACAGTATATATTGAATAAATTTCATAAAAAAATTAATAAATTTACTCACCTCGTTGTACCCTAGCTAAATATGCCGTCAACTGTATCTAGAAAAATTAATATATATTTTTATTGTTACAAATTGTCATATATTTAATGTATATGTTGATCAATACATATTATATAATTATTTCCATATTTTATAAAGTATAATTATATCTGTGAAATAAAATGCGTAAATAATTATCTAAACATTTTAATAAATATTCAATAAATAAATAGGTAGCTGGAAAAACATTGTATGTTACAACAGATGTACCCGGCAAACACTAACATAATGTCAATGTTATAATTTCTCATTCAACAACATTATTGCAATATAATACATTTTGTATGAAACTATTATATTATTAAATGGGAAATTATAACATTGATGTTATGTTTTACTGTTGATTAATGTAGTAATATTTGCTGGATAAAGTAAGATACTGCAAATAGCTCTTAAATATGATTGTGTGTAGTATTCTTAGTTTTTTGTGTAAAATTTATAAAATGAAAAGAATTAAAAATATTATGCACGTTCATATTTAAAAGCTATTCACATTATCTTACTTTACATTTGTTAAATTTATAACGTTCCAGTAAACCTAATCTAACCTAACCTAACCAACAATAATAAAACATCAATGTTATAATTTCCCTCTTAATAATGTTACTGCAATATAACCTGTTATGTATGGAATAATTATATTGCTGAGTGGGAAATTACGACACTGATATTATGTTACTGCTAATTAGTTAGTATTTGCTGAAATAAATATGTTTTCTGAGCCAGCCATTCAAATTTTTTAATAAATATTTTAATAAATACTTTTCAGACATCCTAATAAGTACTTAACAAATACAATTGTAATTGTGTATGTGCAAACTTTATTTACCAGCTAGAGAGTATTAATATATTTGTTGCATCCGTTGTAAATTCCGCCTTAGATCATCAATGTTCCGCATCAGCTCCATTGAAGAATCAATAAATATCAAAAACCAGCACTTACAGACACACTACTAAATTAGGTTATCCGATTATTTCATTTGCGCCACGAATTTATATCGCGAATTTCATGCCGTACATAATACGTAAACCTGAAACAAACATATTCTCTATCACAAAGCAGTCACGCATATAGTTGTAATCGATATTATACATGCATTCAGAGTGAATAAAACGAACATGAAATGATCTTGGCACTTGGGGAAATACACAACGTAATTATGTTTATAACATGACAATCTGTACTTACTGAAACCATATTATACCAGTGTTGATCCACAAAACGCCATTAATCGTAGACATCTGCGATGAATAATACATTTCGATAATCGCCCGTCATTTTAATCGGCACTCCCGACAAAAATTTGCACTCATTACACACTCTTAATAAGGATAATGTACACGATGAATTGCAAAATATTTCCATTTCAAACCGCCTCACCAAAACTTTCCGCGCCTAATAGCGTACTCTTCCGGCTGTCGCGCGCACTACTTCCGAATACCGCGCGATCTATTGTACTGATTGTAAGTCTAAAATTCACTCTTACAATTAGTTTTAAATTTGGAAGAAATTTTTACTGTGTTATTATTATTATAAAAAAAAAAAATTAAATATATATATATACATATATATATATATATATATATATATAATAATATATAAACATATGTAAAGAGATTTAAGCAATTTTCAAACTAAAGATGTAAAAATTTTCTTGGTGTTTCTATAAGTATAAAGAACCATAGGCGCCCGCAGAAATTTGCCTAAGTAAAGGCAAGTCTAAAATCCTCTAGGCTATGTTTATACATAATATTCTGTTATAATAAAAAAAAGCAGTGAGAAACCTGTGTAGCTTAAAGTCAAGATTCATATTATTTAAATTATAAAAATTTTATTATTTTTTATTTGAGGATCGAGCAATGTAATAATTCATTAAAAAGTTCAAAGAGTCATATTTCAGGGGAAGGGGGGCAAATGCCCCTTCTTGCCACCCCTTGCGGGCGCCTATGCCGAGTATGTATACACGGAAAAAATTCTATATCAAAAATTACTATGTACGGAATTAATCGCGGACCATGAAGCCACAAACCGAAAATTTTGTACTATGTTTCACATGTAAAAAACATAGTAAAAATTTTTATAATTCTTTCATGATCCGCGGCTACTGCCGTACATAGTATTTTTAATATAAAATTTTCTCCGTGTAGTAATAACATTTCAGCGAAATAGACGTTATAGCGCGTATTATTTACACGAATATTTGGTAAGAAATAATGCACATATAATATATTATTTCTGTGTATTAAATAAAATTACTTTTAAATTACAACTATATCAGAGAAATCGATATGATTATATAAAGAAAAATGCGTATTTTTTAAAATTATTTATACAGCATTAAGTACAATTGATGTACTGATCGCTGAAATAAATAAATATGATTGACTTAAAGGCTAAAGTGGCTGTGTCAGCTTAATAGACGTGACTTAATAGATATTGCATAAAAAATTGTAATGTGTATGTATTTAACCACCTGATTTCAGATGTGGCATTATCGTCGACTTTCTTTACAAAAATGCTCCGATTTATTGGTTAAAATTTTGTATTACATTACCCTATTTTTATTTCTTAAATAATAACAGTTTTTATGTGCTTTAATTTGCTTTAATTTAATCTTAAATACTTGTATTAAAATGAAGATTATTTAATATTTTAATATTTTATTTTGTTTGAATATTTTTATTAATACGCACTTTGACAGTTATTCGTTTGTGTGCGAAAATAATTTTGGCATTTTTTAATAATATAAAATATATTGAGTGAAGGCAAAAGTTATGATAAGTTTCATGGTACACAGAGAAAATTTTATATCAGAAATTACTATGCACGGCAGTAATTTTCGGTCCGCGGACTATGAAGCCACGGACCGAAAATTTTTATTATGTTTCACATGTGAAAAACATAGTAAAAATTTTTATAATTTCTTCATGGTCCGCAGCTACTACCGTACATAGTAATTTTGGATATAAATTTTCTGCGTGTAGAGAAATGCACCAAGTAATTTTATTAAACTGGACACACTAGCGCGCACTATATGCGCCATTATTTTTTTATTTACAAAGAATTATTTATTATAACTATGTTTAATGAAAGTAATATTTTATTATTATTATTTATATATTATTATACTATCATTGTCGCAATTTGTAGTACTATTTAACGCAAGTCCTGTTATTTACGTGTAAAAATATATTTAAATTACATATACTTGTGATTAGGTTATTACATAAATGTATAATGTAGAATAATTGGAAAATAAATAATCAGACCGAATTTTTAGAAAGCATTTAAATTAAACCAATATTAAACCATTAGTCTTTGACTTCAGAAAAGATTAAAACATAGAATCTGGTATCAAAGAAGACACTTTAAATATTTTCTGTAAAACACAAAACGGTAACCGTAAGCCGTTTAAATGATATATAAAAATTAATGTTTCAGCAAAAAAATTAATATTGCGGAAGAAAGGAAGAATGAAAATCTTTCATGCTTTTTTTAGATAGAATATTGATAAACACTGCAATTAATTTCATCAACAATCTTATCTATTCCGCTTTTCTCTACATGTAATTATATACGTAATAATTTCAGTAATAAATTTCATAATAGTGCACTTGTATAATGTAAAGTACACATAGGCGCCCGCAGAAATTTGTCTAGGTAGGCAAGTCTAAAATCCTCAAGACTATGTTTACACGTAATATTGTGTTATAATAAAAAAAACACATAATATTGTATTACAATAAAAAAAAAAAACAGTGAGAAACCTGTGTAGCTTAAGGTCAAGATTCATATTATTTAAATTATAAAAATTTTATTATTTTTTATTTGAGGATCGAGCAATGTAATATTTCATTAAAAAATTCAAAGAGTCATAGTCCATGGGCTTACCCCCGAGGGGGAGGGGGACAAATGCTCCTTCTTGCCTCCCCTTGCGGGCGCCTATGTAAAGAACTCGTGTGGAATCTCTCTTTTTCTTTCGTTCTTTTGTTAATGCTTTAAGGCAAATTTTATGCAATTTTTAGATAGATTTGGATTTAACAATCAATAGAAAAGATTGCGAGATCGACAGTTTTTGAATTTTAGTCAAACGGCCTAGAGATCGGCCCGATTATAGTATCCTTTTGTTTTATGATGTTTTCTTTTAGAATCGAGTTTATTAAAGAATAAGAGAGAGTCCCGCCAAAACTATAAGAAACTTTGAGACGACGAAAAAAGACCGCGATATATGCGTACAGGGCAAACAAAGTAGGAAACTATTCAAATATAGCGGTAAGCGAGCGCTGTTACGTGCTGATATGCAACGTAATGAGATTAAAAAAAAACAGGATACTGTGGGATTTATTAGGGTTATAATATTCGTATATAGAAATTAACAAACGTTCTCGCTTAATAACTCTCGTAAATATAATTACTAGAGAAACATTTTTATTGCTAAAAATAACATAACGTAAAATAACATAACATAAAATAACATCGTCAAATAAATTATTAACAACTGATAAGTGAGAGTAATAATGAAATTAGCAATAAAAATGTTTCTCTAGTAATTGAAGAATTTATTTCTTATACACAAACGATTGTTTAATACAATTGAGTTTTATTTTAATGTTTACTAATATGATAGTGTTAATAATAATTTCTAAACAATATATAATTGATGTGGCAGAATGTATTGCAAACGAGAATAATTCATGCCGCGCCGCTCCTGACGGCGCGTAATGTGAACCCCGTAATTGGTTAATTTCAAATGCATTTTATTCAAAAACTATTGACCCCACAATTTTCTTGTACGGACATTTTTTACTCACGTTATCGAGATCTATCCACTCCTTCGAAGACCTGCGTTTGATCTGAAACACCCTGTATATTCGCATTCCTACATTCGGCCATTCTGCTCGAACATTTGTCCTCAAATGACAATATTTTTACTCTTCTGAATCACTCGCATAATCTACCCATGGTTTCATATAGTCTGCAGAAGTGGATGTTCTGAAAGGTCCTTCGTGTTTGTCTAATTTTTGTACTGTATATCTATCATTACGTAATACTTTTGTTACAGAGTATGGACCAAAATATTTATTCGCTAACTTAAGACCAAGTCCTAATTGCGTACGCTTTATCGCAACTAAATCGTTTTCGTTATATTTTGTCGCTAATTTTCGCGTTTTATTAAAAGTCGCTCGATTTTCACGCTGAATTTTTGTAATACACTCTTTTGCATTTCTACGCAAATCGTCTCGATCATTCCGAAAATCTTCGATCCACTCTTTTTCTAATAATTCTCGAATCTAAGGATCATCTTGAATACGCGCATGAGTTCTAAAAAATAAATGGAATGGTGTTGTACCAATACTTCTATGTGAATTACAATTTAAGTATAATTGAGCCAAATTAATAAATTTAAACCACTCTTCACGTTTAGGATCTGTAAGTTTAGTTAAAATAATGGTATTAAAATTCGGTTCACGCGTTCTATCTGACCGTTCGCTCGTGAAACTCTGGTTAATACATGATTAATGTTTTCTTTCGTACAATATTCTGCAAACTTTTTAGATGTAAAAGCCGCGCCTCGATCTGAGATTATTCTTCGCGGATTTCCAAAAATAGCTGATTGTTTTTTAAGCTTATTTACGACTTCAGTAGCGTTTGTGGTTCTAGTACCATATAACCATACAAACTTTGTAAATGCGTCGACTATTGCAAAAATATACTTATAACTCTTTTTTGTAGAAGGTAGTGATCCTAAATGATCGATATGGTATGTATCTAAAGGTAATTCGCTTTTTTCTATTGTATTTAAATATCCTTCCTGTTTGCCTTGTATTCTCTCAGCTAAAATGTAAGCTACACAGTTTCTTATTACTTTTTCTATTTTCATCTTTACATTGGGCATCCAAAAATCTTTCAATAATAACGCTTCAGTTTTTACAGCAGAGAAATGACCTCTATCATGTGCTTGTTTGATAATTTGTGTGTGCATTGATTTTGGAACAACTAATAAAATATCTCCATTACATTTCTTAAAAAGCAAATTGTTTTTGATTGTATAGCCTTCAATATTATTTTCTTTAACAGTGTCGAATATTTTCTTAATATCATTATCCTCTTGTTGTGCTCGCTTAAACTTTATAGTAAACTATCATTATTATTTATCATCATACATTTCAGAAAAGGATTACGACTTACGCATCTACGTGTGCCATATTTTTTCCAGGTCGATGTTCAATAGTGTAATCAACCTCTTCTAAAAGTAAGGCCCATCTAGCTATCCGTATACATAAATCTTTCTTGTGCATGGTTAAAGTAAATGCGCGACAATCTGTTATTATTTTGAATGTTATTCCTAACAAATAAACGCGAAACTTAGCTAATGCTTTGACAATTGCTAATACTTCTAATTCATAACTTGTATAACGTTGTTCTGCGGGAGAAGTTTTGCCGCTTGAATAATACACTGGATGAAATTTATTATCTTCATCGTTTTTTTGCATCAAAATCGCGCCATATCCATCAGCTGATGCGTCAGTATGCAATTCTGTTTGTACACCTATTTTATGTAAACGTAATACGGGTTTATTACACAATATTTCTTTCAGACGGATAAACGCTTCTCTTTCTCTTTCTGTGAATTGAAATTTCACATTAGATCTTAATAAATTACTCAATGGACGCGCTATAATTGAATAATTTGATACAAATTTTCTGAAATAGCCACTTAATCCGAGAAAGCTTTGCACTTGTTTTAAATTAGTTGATTCTGGAAATTTACGCACTGCCTCAATTTTATTCGCAGATGGACATACTTGACCATTCTCTATTACGTGACCAAGAAATTCTACTTTATTCTGCAGAAAACAACATTTTTTCCAATTTATCATTAATCCTGCTTCGCTCGCAATTTTTAATATTATTTCAAGGTTTTGTATTCCAGTATCTATATCTATAGAAGGTATTATTAGATCATCTATGTAAGTTAGTACTATCTTATCGCGTATTACATCTCGAAAAGTTACATTTATAAATCGTTAAAAAATTGGTGATGGTGAATTACAAAGTCCGAAGGGTACTTTTAAAAATTTATAGTGGCCATCAGGAATAATAAAAGCTGTATACTTTCGACTATCTTCATCGATCAAAACATGAAAAAATCCGTTTTTAAGATCTAAAATACTAAAAAATTTCGCGTTTTGTAAAAGATCTAATTGGTCTTCTATGAGTGGAAGCGGATATCTGTCTCGTACAATTTTTTTATTTAGTTGTCGATAATCGACACACAGTCTGGTACTTCCATCTTTTTTTTTTACTAATACTACAGGACTTGCATAATCAGAAAGAGAGGGTCGTGCAATACCATCTCAAATCTACTCGCTTACATGTTCATTTTCTCTCTTTCTTTTGGTGACAAACATCAGGCTTTCTGATATACCGGCTCTTCGTTTTTTAAGACTATTGTCATCTTAGCATCAGTTTCTTTAGTTTTTAAAGGATGATAGTTATTAACAATGTTTTCGAGAACTAATCGGTGTCTACTTTCCGGAATATGCTTTACGTTTATTTTATCAATTTTCTCGCACTCTAGATCTATTTGAAATATTTCGGGCAATTCATTATTCGTAGTTATCTCTTTGACTGGACTAATTGATATATTTCCGCTTTTGACATGCAACTCGACTGTATTTAAAAAAATTAGTACCAATAAGAAATTTGTGATTAATTACATTATCTGATACAACTCGAATAAGTATAGGATATGAATGTCCGTCTACTGTTAATTCTGCACGAAATTCTCCAAGTGTTACGTTTTCTTTTAGTCCTACGCCATGGAAATGAGTTTCTTTATATTCTAATAAAGGAGATCCTAGTCTAATGTATTGATCCGCGCGTATTAAACATAAATCACTTTCAGTATCAACTAAAGCAACGATTTTATGATCATTAATTTCAACTTCTTTAGTACATTTTGTTTGCATTACCTGCATTGCGACGCAGCTGTCTTTTACCTCTCGTCTCTTCGGACATTTTATCGCAATGTGCCCACGCTCATTGCATTAAAAACACTGAGATCCATTTTTCTTAGTCGGACAGTCCTTGCCATGATGATCGGGTAAACCACAGTTATAGCAATTTTTCTTCCCCTTGTGTGATGATTTATGCTGCTCGTTTTTTCCTCTGTTATCATCCTTGTCCATCCTTTGGCGGAATTGTGTCTTCTCTCTTGATTCGCCGCTTCTCGCTCCAGAATATTTCCTGTCCCATAGTGTGACTTTTTCGAATGCTTCCAACAATGACTTTTTTGTCTTAAGGCCGCTAACTCGTGCTTGATCTCTCAATATTGGATCAGGAATGCCGTCGATAATATATTCAACAATTTCATTTTCTTCAATCGGGATGCGATTACCAAGAATTGTCTTTTCATACGCATACTCGCAAAATGTCTCTCCTTTCTTCCATTCTCGCTCTTCAAACTTTCGTCGCAGTATCATTCTGTTAGACCGATGATGGAACATACTCTTTAGTTCGATCAATAGTGCCTCTAATGATATCTCAATAAATTCAGGCTTAGAATGTAACCAATCTAACGCTTTTCCTCTCAATCGCATACCAATTAATATCTTTGCATGCTCATCATCTAATCGATATGTTCGTTTTAATAGTCAGTCAGTTGTCTTTTCCAAGTCTCGAAGTCGCCTGTTGTACCATCGAAAATAGCAAGTAATTCAGCTATAGCAGTTAAATTGATCTTTGGCACTCGGTTCCGCATCGATATGTGAGTACGAAGGTCGATTGGACGTAAACTTGCAAGCTGTAACAAAATGCAAAGTATTATAAAATTGAGAAAAAATTTCTCTATTTTTGCTTTTATACATTTAATAATAAAAGTCATATAACAATAAAAAAATTTCCGATTAATGTAATATAAGTATGCACACGTCAAAGAATTCGGTAAATTGATACAACAAAAATATAAAAATTACGTCATAAATAATGAAAGTATACTAAGTAAATAGAATAAAATATATGAAATTATGTAAATTTATTATATATATTTAGTAAATTTTTGTTATTTATCATGTAATTATTACATCTAATTTTGTAAATTTATCGATTTTATTTTCAGTATAGAACACCGTGTTTAATTATGGTATTCCCTTATTATGATTGCATAATTGAACATCAAACATACTGTTACTTATAATTATACATCTCCGTGATTTTTGTTTTTCCTTATATTTGTACGTTTTGTAAACATGTGGATTAGTTCTTTGCGAAAAGTTTGTCCAGTTGCGCAGTAGAGAACAAAATTTATACTGTAATGTGCTGTGTCCAATAAGTGAAATATTATGATCATAGGTATCCCATCGCCATATTTAGGTATCTGAAAAATTATTATTGTTATTTTTGTTTTATATAGCCATTAATAATAACATATCGTATTACAATGCATCTATTTTTTACGCGGAGATTTAACAAATTATTGTATAATTTCATTCATAATGTAAAAATTAAACAGTACAAATTATTAAAAGGACAATATTTAAAAAAATTCAAATTTTTAAAGAAAAATTAATTAATATATTTTTGTCATATACAGAGAGAAAATGCATTTGTAGAGTAAATAAACTATATATTATGATCGTTATTATTTTAATATGAATTATTGATACGTACGTAAAAACAAAAGAGGAAAAAGTAATGTCTAGGTAATTTCACCATTACAAATATGCTCGAAACAAGAATAAGCATTCTTGTGATTTTATACTGCATTTTGTCACTAGAAATCTGCGTTCTTTTATTAAAAGAATCGGACGCTGCAATCAACATTTTGCGAACACGATTTTGCTGGTAAATGTGGTATCCTATCAGAGTATTGCAGATTACTATCACGAGAGCAGGTAAAGTAAATATTAAAATAGTAGTCATAATCGTCCTTTTACTTGTAGCGCCTGTCTGAATGTCCAAATTTAGATGTTTGTATATAATATAAGTATTTATATTTTTTGATTTAAAAAGTTCATTTATATAAGTCATGGTCCACATATAAAAAATGTTGAACAAAATCGCTAGTCCCATCAGCGTGATTACTACGATTTTTGCTTGTCTGACAGTGCACCAAGATCGACGCAGAAGCGGATACTTCGTAACAATATATCGCTCGATGGTAAAGGCTACTATAAGCCACACGCTCAAGAACTCGGAAAAGAATCTCGGAAACTCTATCAAGTACGTTACCCAGTATGCGTCTTTTATTGGTTCTATATCCATTAACATGAGCCATTCAATGAGTAATATTATCGAATAAGTTATGTCGCATATTGCTAGCACGCCCAAGTAGATGTTGGACGAGAAAGAACGCATCTTTTTACGGAAGAGCACACTGGCAGACAAACAGTTTCCTAAAAAACCTAGAATAATAAAAATTGGCGTACCGTACTTTCTTGAAGTTTTAAAAATCTTATAATTATTATAAAGTGCATAATGTAGCTCCAAATAAGAATAAAATTCATATATGACGTCAGTGATTGGAAAATGTCTGCCTACAATATTTTCGTTACATAAATCTCGGAACTTTTCAATTCTACTTATGTTCACAGGTGACTGAAGCGTCATGAAACGTATACTGTAGACATGAATAAAATATTCGGCCATGTTTCGCAAACTTTTGTCAAGATCTCTTTCGTTGTTACAAACATGCAATAGTAGTTCGTGTTCAGATATGCTCGAATAATCTTTGCCAAGATTATTTTCAGAAAACATCCTTGCGTATGATTGTGGATTGTGTGCAACAGTTGATTGTGAGATGTAAACGAAAAGCAAAAAGGTATAATCAAGTTGCATCACGCGTCTGAAAAAGCGTTGTAATTATAATGTATGATATATTTATTGAAATCAATTAATCTTGCATATAAATTTTATTTATTGATATATTTATTAAAATAATTTTCTTTTATTATTAAAAGAATAAAATATACGAAATATATAAAATATATACAGTATTTTAAACATTTAAAGTAAAATGTCTTACGGACTATCTCACTTACCAGAGAATCGTTACTAATTCTGAAGTCTATGAATACGGACGTTACAAACTCTCAGCAATTTCCAGATTACAATCATTGAACTGCTAACCACTGACGATTACAACAAACTGAATGTCGAGACGACTGACTCGGATGACGGTATTATTTCTTCCTGGAAGTTTGCGGCTTACCAAAATGATTAATATTTTGACTGTAAAGTTGCTCATATACGTTGACGTGTAAATTTCTACAGGAGCATATAGCTCTACTTAAGTATTAATAACTGCCTACAATATCTTCGTTACATAAATCTCGGAACTTTTCAATTCTACTTATGTTCACAGGTGACTGAAGCATCATAAAACGTATATTGTAGAAATAAATAAAATCTTCGGCCATGTTTCGTAAACTTTTGTCAAGATCTCTTTCGTTGTTACAAACATGCAAACCTAGTTCGTGTTGAGATATGCTGGAATAATCTTTGCCGAAATTATTTTCAGAAAACATCCTGCGTACGATTATGGAACGTTTGCAACAATTGATTATGAAATAAAAAGCAAAAAGCGGTGTAATCAAGTTGCGTCGCACGTCTGAAAAAGCGTTATAACATTATTATATATGTTATTCATTGAAATCAATAAATTTTGCATATAAATTTTATTTATAAAGACATTTACTAAAATAATTTTTTTTATTATTAAAAAATAAAATATACAATATATACAATATATATACAGTATTTTAAACATTTAAGGTAAAATGTTTTACGCATTATCTCACTTACCTGAGTGTTGTTAAAAATTCTGAAACCTACGGGAGTTACAGACTCTCAGTAATTCCTCGATTTCAATTGTTCAACTGCTAAACACTAACGATTGCAAAAAACTGAATGTCGAGACGACTGACTTGGATGATAATATTATTTTTTCCTGGAAGTTTTTGGTTTACCAAAATGATTAACATTTTGATTATAATATTGCTCATATCCGTTGATGTGTGTGTTTCCGCAAAAGTCTGTCGCTCTACTGAAATATTTTTAATGAGATTAAAAAGAAGGTATTAATATTACTAAAATAATACATAAAATTTATTTAAAACAAATTTTTTTATTTTTCTCATAACAGATATTTTATTAAATATAGTTTTTATTATCATAATATTTATGATTACATGACAACTGTCGTTATTATATATTACGTATTGAATAACTAGAACATTATAATATTTTGCGACGTAAACTAGCCTCGGAATCACGCCAGATCCGAGGGAGCACGCCCAATGGAAATCGGTAACCGCGGTACTCCACGATCTTCGGGAGTTAGGTAACTTACGCGGCGTCGGCAGTAAATGCACGACTCAGTAACTCGCGGTGTCGGCAATAAATGCTCGATTCGGTAACTCGCGTTATCGGCAATAACTGCACGATTCGGTTACTCGCGGTACTCCTCGCACGTCGGGAGCAAGGTAACTCGCGAAATCGGTATCCAGAAATGGGCGCCAAGTATAATCGCACCATGGTAACGGTAACTTCAATAATTCTTTTAATATGTCCGGCCGCTCCCCGCTCGGTATATGGCAGAGGGGCGTAGTTCTTTTGATTTCTATTGGAGATTTTGGAGAGGAGATGTCTTCAGAAAAACACCACGTTTAATAATAAAAGTTAATAACTCTTATTATTACAGAATCGTGAATTAACAGAGCTGAACAAGCTTTAGAATCTCTTTAAGAGAGTCGGTATCGCATGCAAATCAAAACATCATATTTGCCAAACAGGCGTCACAGAAAACAATACTCAAAATGATAACCAAGAACGATACTTCCAATGACGTTACTCTAGACGGTATCCAAGAACGACACTCGAGAAACGGTACTCGAAGACTACAGTCGAAACGGTACTCAATACAATATTTGGAAACGATACACAAAACGACAATCGGCAATGATACGCAAAACGATACTTAGAATCGGCAGTCAAAGCGGCACTCCAAAAGATACTCCGGGAACGATACGCAAAACGGTAGCCGAAAACGTTACATACAACGATATTCAAACACGATAATCGGAACGCAAAATGACAATCAGAAGTGGCAATCGGAACGGTACGCAAAACCATATTCAGAAAAACGGTACAATAAACGATACGGTAATAGATTTGCCAGATACGCTCCAGTCTCCTCCCAAAACTGCGACCCCCGAGATTCCGCCAAGAAACGACGCTCCAGAACAAGCCCCAAAACGATAACACCGTCAGATACGGAGACAGAGGGAGTCCTGCCAGAGTCGTCCAATTTCTTTAAAGGCGTAAATCCGGAATCTCGCCCAGAGACGACGTTCCAAGGCCAAATCCGTACTAACGGTAATACATGAATTTCGGTAATCGGCAAAAGGTAATCTCAACGGTAATTTTGATAGAGGCACTCAAGTTTCCGCGACGAGTTGATCGTTACGCCCCAAGGTCGAATTCAAACTCTCGCTGCAAAACGGCACTGCACTCCACGCAAATTCCGCGACTCAAATTCTCTATCAACTTTATCAAACGGTATCTTCTCAAGACAATGGTAACATACGGTAACAGGTAACTGATAACTGCGGTAAGACGGAGACGGTGACGATATAGGTCTTTCTCGGATTACGAGCGTTTGGACTGTCGACGGCTCAGCGCCTCGAAGAGGGCTACGGTAACACAATAACCGGGGCCAGCTAACCTCCGACTCAGAAATTCACGGGAAGCGGTATCGACACTTCTTGTTTCGATAATCAAGAGTAATCGCGGTATTTCAGCGGTAACTGAAGGTGTCGGAGGCGTCCGCTTTGGCCGGTATTACAAAATTATATCTATCCTGGGTGATGGCCTTACAAAGACGGTACGGCTACGCTCGTCAGGATCCTCCTCCGAAGCTGCTCCTTCCCGGTTGCTGGCTCGTCGAACAGTGGTTTCTCTGAGATCCCCCTGGCCCATGTCGAGTCTCCACGCATCGGTCAGCGCACTCTGTTTATAATTTTTCCTCGAGTCGCCTGTCGATCGTAAACAGCTCCGACCTCGTCAATTGTTTATTCTTCATTTGTTTATCCTTTTTGCTCGCCAACGGCCGATACTTCAAAATAAGGGCCTCTGAATTTGCCGTCCTCCGGTTCGATCTGCCCGGCTGGCCAGGCCGCGGCTACATCGACCGTCTGTTTGGACTCTCGGTGATGGCGGCAACGTCTTTCGGCATCCGGTTGCACTGCCGTGCTCCCTCTATCTGGACCTTGTCGGGGCTTCTCCGTAACCTCGGTCCTGCAAAATTGGAGGATCGGTAATTGCTACTATGACAATGTTCAACGCGAGACTCGATACATGACCTTGGTTTCGTATGTTTTCCGGGCTTCCTCTTTACTGTCGAGGTCATCTTTCGAAATCCCACGGCGTTCGCTTCTTCTTGACGTTAGTTACACAAAACGATAAATTGGCCATACACCCTAACGCTAAAATCCTAAGTTTGTCGGTAGATTATAACAATTAAATAAAAGCGCAAGACCCGTCGAAGCGGGAGAAATCGCTCCCTCCTCGACCGGGGGGACGCAACTCCAAATTACGCCCCCTTCGGCCGGGCTAGTGCCCTTGTGACGGGCGCGTCACGTCACAATTTTATTTTGTACATTTCAATTAATATTATATATTTAGTTTTATTTAAATTTATAAAGTTGCATGCAATATTAACACGCTACTATTTTAGGAAATTTTTAGTACTAAAAGTTGTTTGAATAATGGAACAATATTATCGGCGCATTCTAAATAATTGATAATTAATCTCTCGTTTTGACAGCTATTTGCAATGGCAAACACAAATTTAATTTTTATCGTGACGTGACGCTTTTGAGCGTTGTCACAAGGGCGATAGCCCGGCCGAGGGAGCAGAGTTCTGGAGTTGCTCCTCGCGTTGAGAGAGCAACCCGCG